CTCAGCGCAGATTTGGAAGAAAACCAGCTTCGCGTAGAAATGCCAATCTTGGTTTCGAGTGACGACCGTGAAAGCAGAGAAAACCAATTAAAAATCATTAAAGCAGGATATTAAAATGTCAGACCATTAAGTGATGGGGTGATTAAATATGACAAATAACAGCTGAATAACAAATAACCAGAATTACTGCTCATTTTTATTCATTATCTACTTTACTAATTCAGTATTCAGAAATAGGAGAAAATACTGGTTAGACTGACTCAGTTATATCCTTGCAGTGCTATCTGATCATTACAAGCTTGAATAATAAACATACAAATAAGTATTCATTTAAAAAAAAAATCTATCAAAATCTATTTAAAGGACAGAATATTCATTTTGTCAAATCTGTGGTATTGAACTGATTCTTAACCCATTCCCAACTCCCCCTTTCAAAGTAGTTATCATGGGAGTCAATATTGAGCCCCACTGAAGCTTCTCAATATTCAGGATCCATGCCTCCACCTGCTCCTCCTGCACCTGAACATTAACCGTGCTGCTGGATGGCCCCTGCTTGGCTACCTCTGGTCCCTCTCAGGACCCCCATCCCTATTTCCCTCCATCCCTCCTGTCATGGGAGAGGAATGCTGAGAAAGATAAGACCACTTCAAAGACACACCCAGTTGTAGAAAAAGTGCGCGCACACACACACTAGCATGAAAGAAGGCATTGGATGAATCCTTTATCTTTAAGAGTAGAAGGACATGCATGAGGGACCCTATCTCATGCATGTATATGGGTATGCACAAGGTGAACAATGACACGCAGCCAGAAGGAAACACACGTTATCGGCCAGAGCAACTGTTGCTAAGAGCTGATTAGAGAATAAACAGTGAAAAAAGGCGACGTTTCCCCCCCCCCCCGAAAAAGAAGAAAAAAAATCAACATTAGTAGGGAAGTGACAAACTTTAAACTAGAGATGGATTGTTAAATAAATCAAAGACTGAAACATCATATTAATGATGCCGCGTGTGAAACTGGATAGCCGCTCACAGTCAAGTGCTACTTCGGCCACTCCAAAGTGTAAATAATCAGAGAGACAAAACCAAAGTTTGCACCACGCCTTAGTAAAGATGTGGTTTTGTTTAACGCAGCTGGGATACAAGTTCTAGGAAGGGCGACATGAAAAATAAAACGATGCCTGCGTCTCAGAGAGAAAAGAAACGCCATAATCTACAACCTTTTTCTTTTTCTCTACTCTAAAAATTTGAGTGGTTTTCTATTTGCCCCAAATTGTGATTTGGAGGTCGTTGTTGCAAAGCAGGCAAGCTGTTCCCCAGATGAGCTCCCTCCTCTCTTTACTACCCCATCCACAACCACCACTATCTGTGGTGTATCTCTCCATCTCCATGCTAATGCCCTGTAATGATCTGAGGCAGGTTGGGATGAAAAAAAAGGAGAGAAACTTGTTCCCAGCGCAGCTTTGTAGTGCTTTCTGTTGTTGTTGCCATAGTAACACAGACCAGGAACTCAAACTGACACAGCAATGCTTATTTGCATGACAGGACAAGAAGATCATATTCTTCTTAGATTTTGAATGGGTATCACTTACTTATGCTACATATGAATAATCAGATCCATTAAAAATGCACAACCAGCAGTCGCATCAACTTATTAAGAAAAAAATATAAATTTGTGGATTTTTTAAATATTTCTTTTTATATAGGCAAAGACTGTTAATAATAAATCTATGTTCACATAGTCTGCATGGATCATTGTGCATGCATTATACAGATGCATGTATCGCAGAGTATCTGAAGGAGGAGGTTTCTTGAGCAGCTCTATTTGTTTAATTTTATCATTCATCCTCCAATCTTCACACACACACACACACACACACACACACACACACACACACACACAAACCTGCGTGCGGTCTTGCTTTGACTTTGAAGTTCTGCTGGATCGCCTTTAAAGGCCGTCAGTGTTGCCACGGCAGCAGGCAGGTAGCAGACATCAGGCTGCTCAGTGTGTGCGTGTGTATGCAGCCTGAGTATTTAATTAGCTAAGAGCCCAACGGGCCACTTGCCGTTTTCAGTGTTTAAACGAGGGAATGACTGGCTCGTTACTGATACTAACAACAAGGATAATTTATGCACAAACGGATCCGTCTGCTGTGTTTAAGGACGTTCTCTGTAGCTGGGCTGACAATGACAAGCAAACAATAAGAAAACACAACCATCAGTGTCCCCTTATGATATTTACACCGATATTTACTAAATGCTACAAAAATGTGTTTTTTTGTTGCATCATGGTGACTGAAAGAAAGGAAGAGGAGTAACAACCATACAATCTTTTCCTCAAACAGCCACAGTGTTATTGTTAGTGTTTGTCTAAGACCACTTTGACCATAGAAGAAGAACCCTGGAAGACCTTTGGGTTTCTATTATGCTACAACAAACAGCTAAAACCCACTCGGGGTGAGTGATGGCACTGTGACGAGCTTGGGCCATGTATAGCTGGAACTGGAGCTACAGTTGCTGAATAGGCCGAGCCGGCGCTCTGTTTAATTGTGCAGAACATGATCTAGTCTTGCCACAGAAACTATAATCTGCTTGTGGCCAAGTAATATGGCTCTGTATGGGATTAATTACCCAGTGGAATGTACTGACTGGCTCGCTGGTTGGTTTGCTGATTGTCTGCAGTCTGCTGAAGTCGAGCATTTCAACATATGCAGCTCTGGATAGAAGAGAGTGTTGAAGATAAAGGAGTTAGTGTTGGATGTGGCATTTAGAGTAGATTACATGTTATTTTTTTATCCATTCCTTTAATAATATTTTCCTCTATAGTAGGCATTCTGAAACATTGTAGCTACAAGTTTAATTAACAACACTATTTAGGTGTGGCTACATTCCATTTAGGTAAAGCTGTTTCATTGCCCTGCATTTGTGCACTACAATAACTTCTTGAACCACGCAATGTACGTGAGCAATCATTATTGGAAACAGTTAAATCTGCACTTTCAACGCTCAACACAACTGCCTCGAAGCAGGAGCTGCAGCAGTATATCATGCTGAAAACATAGTCAATGTGTTTGCAAAGCGTTGTGTATTTAACAATCAGACAGGCCCAAAGAAACACTGACATTCCTCCCCTTCAGACATCCTTCGCCACCATTCGATTGCGTGTCCTTAAAAGTTGTCACAGCAGTTGTCTGAATGTGTTGCAGACACATTAATGAAATGCACATGCTTAAGACTCCATATGTCTTTGAGCTTCTTTGTGCAGCTCACTGAAAACTTGATTGTTGTGGACCACGGGGCTCCACAATCTTTGTATATGTGCCTTAGACCAAACATACCAACAACATAGCATTATTAATGTTATTAATACTTCTCATCTTATCCTTCATTGAATCCTCATCCTTGCTGGATGTCGTCACTTAGTCAAAATGTTTGACACTTTTCCACAGATGCTGGAGAATATGGCTCATCTTGGACATCTTTTTAATACTGATCGCCTTTCATACTTCATACATACTTCTTTTTTTTTTTTTTTAACTTGAGCCACAGTGAGTTTTACTTTTTACTTTTCTTTCTTAACCACTTTTAATCCAGAGGAAGCACTTAATCCAATGCCTATTTTGTGTCTGCACTAATTTTTTGAACATTTCTAAAGAGATATTAGTGACTGAGGACCAGTCTGGATGGCAGAAAGGGTTGAGGGCGCACATACGCATAGGTCTTCCTTCTGGCGACAAAGATGGAGAGAAGTAAACAATCCAAAAGTGTATTTACCCTTCACTAGAGTGACACTGACAATGTTCAGTAATCGTATGAGTATGTCTGAGTGAAGCAATCATGTATATAAATGACAGAATATGGTTACTTTAACAGATTTCACAATTGAGCAATGATGGGTATCTCACTGACTTAAAAAGAGCATATTTATTGTTAAATACTGTGTTACAGGCCACCCTCACTTACTCCTGTGGGAAATATATGGCTTTTTAGTTTATTCAAAACAGCTGCATGCTGCATCTGGAAACAGGACTGATGAGAATCATGAGACTGAATTGAAACAAATTGCTGAATGATGGTAGTAAGCTGAGTGGAGGCTGAGGAAAAGTGAATTAAACAAGAACTGTTGGTGGATTCACCGCATGTCATTACTTTGCCATTTTATCAATTGTTGATATCAAATATTGATCAGTGTAGCGTTCATGTTTTTTAATTTTCTTGACTCAATGTGCATCACCCCATAACACTCTTTAATATTAACCAATACCCAGGCTGTTTCTCGTCCATTGAATATCAGCCGTATGATTGTGTCAAAGTCGACAGTTTTGTTTATCAGCTTTCATTACTATAGAGACTACTCGGTTTATACAATAGGATTAGATTTGCCAGTTTTCATCAAGTCATCGCAAACACCAGTCACATGTGAAGCTCTGAGACTTTCAAGGCTCTCAACTCAGTACTAGTTTCAGTTATGAGAAGAGATCAAAGAGAGCGCGCAAGGGTTGACTTGTTAAAGCCAAACTCCGCCTTAAAACAGAATTCATACACGCTGTTTTTATGATCAAAGACTCAAAGTCAGTAGACATAAACAACTCCTTTTAATAAAGTCTGAAGCCACAAAATCGAGGCCCAAATCTGTGATATTAATGACTCTTAAAAAAAAAAAAATCATGCTTGCTAACATTAGACATGTTGGAAACTTTGCTGCCGGTTTCAGTACAGATAGTGATAATGCACCGTGACTCTCCATGTACCTGCCACAACGGCAATGTGACAACGTCAGAATATGACTGGGTTGGTTCTGTATTGTGTTTGTGCCTGAAAATCTGCCTGATCGTCCTTTTACTCCACATTCTGTTGGATTTTGGAAAGACATCTGATGCTGAAATGCTGATAAAGTATCTTAAACAGACTAAATAATTATCAATGGAGTCTAAAGCATAGACCCATGAAACGTCTTTAATTCAACACAACTCTCTGTTTAGCCTTTTCCCATCATACCTGAGTGCTTCTTCCAGTTTGGCTATCTTCCTTTTAGCCTCTGCCTTTTCCTTCTCTGCCTCAGTTTGAAGTGCCAAAACCTTAGACAGATAGAGAGGGAGAGAGGGAGAGAGAGAGAGGAAGAGGGAGCGAGGATGAGAGTATAGGAGGAACAGAGAGAGAGGTGCGAGTGAGTGCAAAAGCAGACACCATCAAACATCACTCAAGGAAACTCTTCTGCCTGTGACCTTGTGCATCTGGTCTCATCTCTTCTATCACCCCATCAAAAGTAGCTGAGCCCATCCCGCCTGCCTTAGAGGCCCTCTCAATCTGGATCTATGGCAGCCATATGGGACCTTCTCATGTCCAGATACCATACCACAGTCTCCTTCTTGTGTATCCTTTAGCACTCCTCGGGAGCGGAGCGAGGAATCTTTCCAGAGTAAACAAAAAGGAAAATGAACAACGGACTTGTCTGTCTTTCATTCCCCCGTCACCTCGTGAAGCAAACAAAGAAGAGGAAAAGGTAGGAAAAAAAAATACAGGTGGATTACGAGGGCAAAAAAAGAAAGAAACACACACACACACACATCAAAAGCAATCCACTGAGGGAAGCTTAATTTAAATCCTCCTTGACCCCAAATAAAGAACACACATGCCTGCTAAGTTTTTGCAGGTGTATCACTCACAGGCAGCCAGATGTGTATGCCAGCCTGCCACCAAGATGCGGCACTTTGAAGATGACCCAGCTGCAGTGTGGAGCTTAAACCTGATCTTTACCTATGAAGTCTGGCCTGGCCTAGTCTGGTCCAGCTCAGATCATTAACAATAGCCTTTGTACTTTATGCTTTATGGCTGCTCTATGGCTTTAAAAAGGGTCTCTCAAAGGAGAGGGGGTAATCAAGCACAGGCCTGGGTACAGAGACAGTGCATACTTCAGACAGGACCCCCCCCCCAAAAAAAATGTTTATTTCAATTTGCTTCTAACTTGTTTCTTATTTTTACAACTTAATAATTCTTGATCTAAATGACCAACTTACCATCCTGCCTTCCTTTGCGCCAGCCTAACATCTACCTGTTAACTGAGGCTTTTAGGATTTTACAAGAGCAGAGAACCATGAGGAACATGCGGCTCCAAGCTTTGATCTCCACTAATCACTTTGTTCAGGGGTGGTTTTGATATAATGACAGGAGGTTACTGAGCTTGGCAGATGGATTTTTCCTTATGGAACAGGAACACACTACCTTTTTCTCACAGCTGATCAGCAGTTCATCTTTTTCCTGCTGAAACTTCATCTCTTGATCCTGAAAGGAAGCAGAGTCGAATCAATAGGTCAGAGAGAGCTGCTAATGACAAGCACTTTTAAAGCTCGTATTGTTGCAGTGACGAAAGAGAGGTTTAAAATGAGCGTCGCCACCCGAATCATATCATACCCTGACTTGTTGGTGTCTTCGATGTTCACTGTCCTCGAGCTGCTGTTTGATCTGAGCCACAGTTTTCTCTAAATCTGCCATCACCTCAGAGGCCTGCAATAGAGAGTGGAGAGATTTGCTAAAAGTTGTGTGTTATTAATCAGTCAGCAGCAAAATTTAGCAGGCCGAGGGAGATACGTGTGAGTGTGTTGTGGTAATGTGAACCTTAGCAGCGGAGAGAGCATGCTCATGGTGCAAGTGGCTCAAGTCGGTCTCGTACTTGACTTGGAGCTTCTGCGTGGCCTGCTCATGCTGCTCGCTCAGCTCCTCCTTCTCCTTCTGCAGGATCATAATCCTGTGAAAAGCTAACGGCTTGACTCAGACTTCACGAAAGAGTTTCACACATACAGATCCGTTTCTATTCATACACCATTTTTACTGTCCATCCGCTGCACACTAGCAATAGATTACATAAAGCTTTCTTAAGATGTGAAGAAGACATTTAAATTAAAAAGCACATGGCAGTAAAACCTAGTCATGAAAAGCTGGTTAGTGTTGAAAAGCTTTCAATATTAGCACTAGCTACTCTTCTCCTCTTTATCTTTCAATCCACCCCTATACCACACGCCAAACAGGTTCATACCGTCTGTTGGCCTCCTGGAGTTCAGTGCTGATAGATGCAATGTGGATCTCCAGCTCAGCCTTCTCCTGTGTCACTTTCTGACGCAGCGTGTTGCCCTTCTCCCCTTCTGCTGACTGCTGTTTCACCCGGAGCTCGAGCTCTCTCATCGTTTGCTCCTGGACACACAAGTTGTTACGAAATCAAACAGCTTGAACCGCCAAGGGCGTCAGCACGGGAAAATGAGCATAAGTCAGAGGATCGCATGCTCCACAGAAATCAGGTCACTGATATGAACGTATCGAAGCTAACATGTGGCTAACAGTGCAGCTGAATGATCCTCTCACTTCACTCATTGACAATAAATGATAATTACTCCAAAAATGTGTAATACTATTACATGCTAATAAAATTTGTAGCTGAAAATCCTTCCCTGCTCCACATGGCAAACTTTTAGAAGACCCCTTTGTAAGAGAAAAGACGAGATAAACTTTACTGTCATGTAAGCATACAAAGACTCAAGTTAAAAACAAACAAAAAAAAAACAACTCAGATGCACATGTTTCTAGTCAGCTGTTGTTCCTCTGTTACATTCTGGCTACTGTTTAAACTTATTACCCAAATTGAGGCATGAGAATAAACTCATAGTGATACCAGCTGAAAATGTAAAAGTTAATGAATGCTTCCATAATAGCAAACTGCACAGGCCGCATTTTCTTTCTACAATTCCAGTAACAGACAATAATCAGTTGTTAGATGGGTCAGTGTGTGAAAATTGCCTGATATTACTGGCAATTTCAAAGTCTAGCCACATCTCTTAAATTACTGACATTTAACGCTGGTGGCAGTAAAGTGCTGGTACATCAACATAGGGCATCATAAAAAGCCTATAACTTCATCGATTTAAATATCTGAACATGGTGATCCTGCATCAGATCAAATGACTCCAGCATACACAATGACAGCGTTGAGGTATTTCAGTCTCTTTTCCACTGTCAAAAACTTGATCAAGATTCAGACTTTCAGAAGACAACGATCAAAGTCCAGCCCAAACAGACAGCTTCTTCCTACACTGTTTTGATTAAAAAGAACTTCCCTTCCCTGCCTACTGTCCATCAACATGCACATATGTATCTTCGTGTGTGTGTGTGTATGTACACATGACAGCGTGGAATGCAGTGTAGGCGGGCCGATAAAGGCGATGACGGGGCGCTGATTAAAGACGGAGCGTGCTAGTTGATCTAGATGATGACAGAAGATTGCGATGACTGAAGGTGGAGTGACGAGAAAGGCGGGGAATGGTGCGTTTGAAAAGAGTATGCGAGCTGCGCCCGGCAAGGCTGCTGAGAGAGACCTTTGTCTTTGTGTTAGCAGTGTAGGCCGTTAAGAAAAGGAACAAGGAGTCTGTGTTGTGCTGGGACGCATGCTGACACTTAGCTTTCTGGCAGGAGATGAGAAGACACGTCTCCACACTGAAGCCTGACTCGGCACACCTGGACCCTCAGTGGGGCCAAAATATGTCCCCTAATTAGGTGTTTTAGAAGGAGAATGACTTTGTGTGAAGTGCAGACTAAACTAGATTATGAGCTACGCTCCTCTTCGAAGATTTTGAAATGATTAAGCCTTTGAAGAGGGGGGGAAAACAAAACAAAACATGTAAGCTGTGACAAAAAAAGTCATAAAAAGTGATGGACGACCTTTCACAATATTTGTATCTGAACTACAGCCAGCAACTGGAAGGCAGCCTGTATCATCGCTCGTCTCCTGAGGCCACGCATATTGTGCTTCAAATTCTAATAATAGAATTTGGTTAGACTTACAAAAGTCCTCATAAAAACATCACTATAATACATATATAGAATAAGCAAACACTATTAAAGGAAGAGGATAGAGTAAGGGGGAAATAGTAAGCTTGAGGAATAAGTGTCCAGCAAATGTTTTTTTAAAAGGTTTAGTGCCATCTTCAGAAACCAGTTATTCTATATTTGTCTAAAACAGTGTTACTAATTATATCCTATATATAGGAAAAGCCCATTCAATCAGTGGAATATCAGCAGTGGAGACAATGTGGCACTGCTACAAATGCATCTCTATCTTTACTTGGTTTGGACGTGCACGGACTACTGTTAAAAGCTTGGCTGGTGCAGATAGCAGCTTGTCTTTATTTTCAAACACCTACTCAGTCACTTCTACCTGTTCTGCCCTGCGCAGAGATAAGAGCCAAAAACAACATCCGAAGTATCTTTTTGTGATCTCTGTTGGAGAGAAACTCCACAAGGCAGCGGTGGGCAGATGAACAGTCTTTATTTCATTTGTTATTAAGCTGCATCCAGTCTGCTGTATTTGAAGGGAATGAATCATCGACTTGAGGTTGTCCTGGATTGCTTGTGTTGCGTGTGATGTGAGCAAACTTTTCATATTGTGTCCTGGATATAAACTTAGGATCTACATCTCTTTGGCACAGTGGTGCAGTGGTTTCCAAACACATTAATGTTAGGTTAACTGGTGCCAGGCAGTCAGCCTAGGGCCCATAAAAGGCTCTCTGGCTCTCAGGCCAATTTCATGAAGCCTGCTTCTGATTGTTTGGTGTGGCAGTGTTCATCCTGTTCGTCTTTGTACAAAGGTAGCAGATACCGGTCCTCCTGATAGATTAAGGAACTTCTATGACCCTGTCCAGCTACCCTAGAGTAACTGTCTTTCTCCTGGAATTGCCTCCATGCCGGGGAGACATAGAACTTCCTGGCAATGGCACATGCGTGCCGTAACAAGCACAGGCCTGGGTACAGAAGATTGAAAGATGTTGGACTACAACTGTAACCTCCGTATGGTCCAAGCATTGTCTACCTCTAGTATTGGTGGCTGGTGCTCAGGAGGTAGAGCAGGTCATCTACTAACTGGAAGGTTGGTGGTTCAATCTCTGGCTGCTAAAGTATCCGAGATATGCTCTTGGGGTTCACCAAGAGCGTTCACTGGCATCGTGGACTCAATTTGGACCATTGTCTTTGATTGTTCGATAGAAAGCACAGGTAGGAAAAGCATAGAAAAAAGTGCTTGTATAAATGTGTGACTGATGCATGTTGTATAAAGTGCTGTGAGCGCTACAGTTGAGTAGAAAAGTGCTATATAAGAATCAGTCCATTTACCAGCAGTGACACCCACAACAGCCAAATGCACAACTAGTGCATGGTGATCCTGCATCAGATCAAAAAGTGTTACTCTGATTTCTTCGAGCAGTGTATTTAGTAGAGGAGTAGCACTGACCACAAACAACTACAATGTGATTTGCTGCACAAAAGCACATGTTCAGCATTACTGGAGCTCACTTCTATTTAATGAGGAGTATGGACTGAAAGGAAGATTCATCTGGATATTGAAAGACTCAAGAAAGTCAACATGGGGCAAAATGAGCCAACTCCAGCTCTAAAGGATCAAGCACAGAGACAGCAATCGCTGACAAAAAGGTGCTGTACCAACTCACCTGAGATAAAGACTACCTTCAACACATATCCTCAGCGTGTGTTTGTGAATAGCCCAACACTACAGGAGGACAGCAGCTGTTACAGTGACAGGGGGCCTTTCCCCCCAATTTCTTGGACCTTGTCTGGCCTTAATTATTAAAAAAAAAAAAAAAGGGGGGGGGGGTGTAATCAACCATGAACCATTCAGTATTTGCAGCCTCTTAAATGTGGCCCTGTTGACAGACTAAGGCCAGAGGCAGCGTGTGTGTATGGCAACCCATGAACACTGATACTGATAGAAACTGTATTTATGACACACGTGCATTCAACTGGCCTCTGGTGTTGATGGTCCCAGCTAATGAAATGTGCATAGTCCCACTTAAACCAAAGTCCTTTCATAAGACTTCAAAGAAAGTGCAGCTTTGGGAGGTGTGTACGCATGTGTGCACGCACATCTTCAAGCACAATCACGGCAATGGGTAAGATTTAATACATACTTGGATCAAAGACCTTTTTAAAGATGACAGGCACAAGATATGAGAGTCATTCTTGGCCAGAGGTTAGAGAATGTCTCCTTTCATTTCAGCCACCGAGTGTTGTGGGTCCCTTTTTTCCCCCCTGATTAGCCATGCGACAGATGTATACATTTAGAACTAACTGAGGAAAGAGTTTTTAGCAGAAGTAAATCTAGTCGCAGAGAATCCTGTTTGTTCCAGTGAAAGGTGGTGCTGAGCATAGAAAATAATCTGCCTACACTAAGCGTTTGAACACTTGCATCCCCTGCTGCTCTTTAGGATGAATCTCTGAAAGCTGCTCACACTATCTTAAGTATAAGTCGTGATCACAGACAGATGGAACAAACATGTGCATACAAAAATAAATAATAAAAAAAGTAAGGGAAAACACGACAAGTCAGGTAGTTAAAGTCGATTTACACAAACACTCACTGTGTAACTGATGGACACAAAAATGTGACTAAGTTAACCCAGAATAAAATACTAAATATGTTGTGTTTTATATGCTCATCATGTGAGTTTTACACTACTGTGCAAGTCTTGAGCCACTCCTCCTTTCTTCGCATTTTGCTTCCAAGAAGCCTGCTTGCGATGCCCAAACCCATGGCCACACTCTAAAGTCGGTAACTTTTGTGTATTTTCATTTCTTCATTTGAACACAATAACACACTTTAGTTTCCAATAAGTTTATTGATTGGTTTGGAAAGTTTTTATATTTGATTAGATATTTGAGTTTAGGGTTCAGTGGTTTTGATGTTCTTCTTTGGTATTTAGTTTATTAACAAACTAGCCTGTACTGCATGGTTTTTGTGGTTTATGATTGTGTTTTGTTTAGTTACCCCTCGTGTGTCATAGTGATGTGATCAGCCATCATATATACCCTTGTGTGTCATTTCCTGTTTAGGTCAGTTATGTTTGTTTGGGCAGTTGTTTGGTTTGTTAAGTTTGCAGTTCTTTGCCTGAGTTAAGTTTTGTTTCTTTGACCTCTTTTATGAGCTCAACATTTATTACTTTTGTAAATATAATTTTTAGGGTTAAATAAATGGAAACCCTATTTTTCTAATAATTCCTAGGACTCCTCCTACCCAACTCAGCCCATCACACTGGCCATTTTTGGAGGAATGTTTTTTTTCTGGTTCTTAAAGTCACTTAACACTGACCTACAAATCATTAAAGTATTAAAAAAAAAAGCACCTAACTCAATGGATGATCCAGTGTCGCGTCTACACATAACTGACAACTTAGCAAAAGAACAACAGTATCTTTAGGTCCTTTATTTACTTGCTGCCAGTCACACCATTTGTTTCCATTTCTTTAGTTAGTGGGAAAAAAAGAGGAAACTGGACAAGCAGTGGACAAAAGAAGTGTCAGGCCTTAAAAACGGTCCAAAGCAGGTGAACGGTATCTGAAAGTCATGTCAGCCAAGACCTGACAAAGGACCTGAGAGATGTATCTGACCCTTCATCTTATCCATCTACTGTTAACTGAACCTTCATCAGAAGTGGTCTCTGTGAAAGGGTGGCTGACAAAAAGCTATTCTGAAGGAAGGGAGACAGACAGAAATGGCTGAGATTTGCCAAATTCCAGAAAAGTGTCTGAAAATCAGTAGTAACAGGTCTTGTGGAGTGATGAAGCCATAAAAATAAAAAATAAATAAAAATCAGTTATAAGTATGTATGGACAAGGTCAGGAGAGAGGTTTTCACAGCCATATGTAAAACATGGTGTAGATTCTGTATTTCAGCCCTAGTGTTGGGGATCTTGTCAAATCTGATGTAAATATGAATCAAGAAAAGTACAGTCAGATTTTGATCCATCATACAATATTATATGATTGGCAACAACTTCCTTTTTTTTGTTATGACAGTGACACCAAATACACTGCCAATGCAGTAAAGGGATATCTAAATTGAAAAACACTGAGTGGAGCACCATCAGTCACGGACTGCTTTCTCCAGAGCCTGGACCTCAACATTATTGAAGCAGTGTGCAATCATCTTGACAGAGAACAAAAAAGGCAGCCAACATGCGAAAAAGAGCTTTGACTGTCCTTCAAGAAGCCTGGAGAACTATTCCTGAAGACAACTTAAAGAAATGACAGGAAAGCTGCTTTAGATAGTTCAGGCTGTGGTGAAGAACACAGGTGCTCATCCCAAATATTGTCTTTCAGTCTTGTTAGAATTGTACAAGCTCTGTTTTTGTCCTATATACCGTATATTCATTTATGTTTGCACGTTACAATACATATTTGTGGCTCAAAACCTTTGCACAACACTGCATCTGTAAATCCACGGGACCACTGGTTAAGTGGGAGTCTTCCAGCACATCTGCTACTTTGGTATGTGCAGCAACACAAGGTCCAACATAAATCAGGGTGTGGAGATTAATAATTCAATGTCAGAAAATCACATCATTGGTCTCAGCAGACACAACACACAGCAGCTGCAACAAAAAACACCAACAGACTGAGTGCTAACACAACATTTCAAAGAAGCTGCTCCAGAAAATTATTTTTTGTCTGAAAGTGTGCAGAGCAATTGATCCTCAACACCTCAAATCTACAGCCAGAGGCAGATGGTGTTGTTTTTCCTTTCATTTAACTTGTAAAAAGATGACTTAAATAAATAAATAAAATGATGATGAAGTCGTCTATATCAATCTGAGCTACTGTAGCATCTTACGCATCTCATGTCAACAGTGTTATAAAATGTGACACATGCATTTCAGGAATAAAACATGAAATGGTTGCTTAACTATAAAAGTAGAAAGAAGATACGAGGCAGTGTCGCACACTTGACTGATGAGCTGCTGTGATCAGACATCCAAGCATGTGTAGTATTGAACTGGGTGTCATTGCATACAGTTTAATAAGAGTAACACAGCAACTATGGGTGAGTAACACCCACGTGTTTCATCAACATACTGTTTGTGCACATAGTACACAGATTAACAGAAAGCCAGAAAAAAAACCAGCTAACAATATTAGTAAGATTAATCTTTGCTGCTGTATTAATGCAGTAAAGCTGACACATACACACACATCCAGACTCACACATGCCTGTTTCTGTACTCACAGTTGCTTGTGACCGTGCATTATAGTCAGACTCCATCTTAGCCAGTCGGATGTTGGTGTCCTCCAGCAGTTCCTGGATATTCTGTGTGTGTTTCTTCTGCAATTCAAACTTCTCCTGCTCCATCTCTGTCACGGCAGCATGCAGCTGCAAGGGCATGAAACATCTACATGTCAGTCACAGATGTTCCTCGCCACGATTCCAGTCATTCCATCCATTCTCTGCCATTTATCCTTTTCAGGGTCGCGGCGGGCCTGGAGCGTATCCCAGCTGTCTATGGGCGAGAGGCAGGGTACAACCTGGACAGATACCAATCTGTCTAACCAATTCATTATATTAAAAACACTCGATGAAGGACTTGTTGAAGGACTTGTGGACTGATGAAGAAATCTCATATCTCACAGTCAAATGGGCTTTTAGCTTCAGACTTCCACCAGACTTTCATGCCATACTTTCTTTGTTTATAAAGTATATAGTGACTGAAACTTTTGGGCTTCTGGGTAACAGCTACAAAATGACATTTACGTCACACCTTGTAATGTTACATACATACACTCAACAGCCACTTTATTAGGTATACCTTGCTAATAATGAGTTGGCCCCACCTTTGCCTTCAGAACTGCTTTGATTCTTAATGGCATAGATTCAATGAAGTGCTGAAAACACGACTCAGATTTTGGTCCATGCTGACATGATAGCATCACACAGTTGTTGAAGATTTATCTGTAATGGGAATCCCACTGTCATTGTCCAGTTACACCACTACCGGTAGGGCTGTGCGATATGACCAAAATCTCATATCCCGATATAAGAATTCTATCGTCCCGATAACGATATAAATCACAAAAATGTAACATTTTCTGTAAATT